GCGCCGGCAGTTGGTCGGTGTCCGCACATATAGTCTCTCCACTATCTAAAGGCCTATTCAAGAGGGCTATTATGGAGAGCGGGGCCCATATGTATAATAAGGACAGGGATGTGATCAGTAAACCGGAGGCCTTAGCGAATGCCCAGAAAGTGGCGGAACAACTGAAATGCAATACAACTGAACAATGGATACAATGTTTACGAGGAGTGGACGCAAAGGAATTTCTAAAAACCGAGTCTTTCCCCACATTTCCAGTCGAAGGCACAGAATTTCTGCCCATTTCTGAACAAAAGGCTTTTGAGGCCAAAAAGTTTAATTCCGGTTAAAATCATTTTAAGTTTGTTATAATTAATAGAGTATTAAATATATGTATTTTAATAGATATTGATTTAATGGCTGGAATGACATCAGATGAGGCCTCAGGGATGTTAAACCAGATGTTCCCCGACGTACACAACCTGACTGTCGAGGAATTCAAGTTTTTGGTGTCGACTATCAATCAAATGTATCATGGATTAGACGCCGAAAATGTGACACAATTTTACTTCAAGAATATTGACCCGAAAGATCCCGGAGCCAGTGTACGAGCGTTCGAAGTGTTCCTTGGTGATTTGTCATTGAAATGCCCCACGTATTTGTTTGCTAAACAATTTGCCACAAATGCACCTAGCAAAAATGTGTACTCATATGAGTTGACGTTTGAAAGTCAATTCATGACTAATGCCACTGGATGTCCACCGGGAATGGTATGTCATAGCGCTGACATACCATTTGTATTTGGGAGACCATTCATTAATCCGGATCTATTCAGTCACGAAGAGACTGTTTTCAGTAGAGATATCATGAAAATGTGGACCAATTTTGCTAAAACTGGGTATAAATTGATCTAGAAATATTATTATTAAACAAGGTCAATTAAATAATATTAAATAATTGGCTTTTTTAGTAAACCGGATGACATTTGGCCGCAACTATTGGTCAGAAATGAGATTTCAGTCCGTGATTTGAATCCAAGGAATATGAGTCGAGTATTGGATAATCCCTTTCACACCACTTGTGATGGCTTTTGGAAAGACTATTATTTGTAATTTATAAGCATTAATGTGCTACTGTATAGCAAATTATCAATAAAATACAATATTACGCTAAAAGATTTAGACATAAATTACAATCATAATGAAAATAATAAATGTAATTTCATAGTTTTGATCCCAAAGTATCGTATTATACATGAATTGGAGCCAATACTTAATAACAGCAATTCAATATATGTGTAAGCCTAAAACAATTTAAAGCTTTTTGCTATGTAGCGTTTACTGTATATGAAATATTTATTAAACTTCTATCATACTTTTATAATGAATAAGTTTAATAAAAGTAT